AGCATTTTTACGAAATGTGTCGAAAGAAAAATAGTCGCCGAACGTAATCCAATAAAACATCCATTTTGTAGATTACATGAACATCCTTGAAGGTGACTCTTATGTTAAGATCGCTAGCACAGACTTTCGTCAGTTTCACAGATTAAACAGTATGTTTTTAATCTAAAGATCTGCAACTAAATATCGTTCTGGGAGATTAAACAATATTTACACTAATCTGGAGACAAAAATACTAAATAACCCACTGGGGAACTGAAAAAAAGCGTTTTAACCTGGAGATACGTTACCAAGCATCATACTGGAAGACGAAACAATAGACACACTAATCTGGAGACAAAAGTAGTAAATATCATATTGGGGAAATAAACAATATGAAGGACAATCTGAATATACTATATTAAATATCATACTGGAAGACGAAACAATAGACACACTAATCTGGAGACAAAGGTATTAAATATCATATTGGAAAAATAAACAATATGAAGTACAGTCTGAATATACTGTAAGAAATATCATACAGGAAGACGAAACAATATACACACTAATCTGGAGACAAAGGTATTAAATATCATATTGGAAAAATAAACAATATGAAGTACAGTCTGAATATACTGTAAGAAATATCATACAGGAAGACGAAACAATATACACACTAATCTGGAGACAAAGGTATTAAATATCATATTGGGGAACTGAACAAGACGAAGGACAGTCTGAGTATACAATAATAAATAACATACAGGAAGATGAAACGATAAATGTGTTAATCTGAGGATACACTACAAAATATCGTTCCGGAAAAACTGAACAATTTGTTCGCTAATTTGAAAATACACTACTATTTCTCATGCTGTAAATGTACTTTATAAAAACAAATACAAGAAACACAACGTCTCATATATTTTCTAAACGTATGTCAGTGTGATATTTGTAATTGTTTGCTTCTTTAAAGTTAATATTTTAAGAAGTGAGACGTTTTCACACTTCATGTCGATATTCTTATTCATCTAGATTCTCGAGGTTTTGCATTAAGATCTTTTCTTTATGTATAACAATAAATCTCCACATTGATTCTGTATATATAAGGAAGGGCGATTGTTTATCTTTTCCTCTTTAACACATCCTTGATAAGAGTAAAAACAGTAGGGTTCTGTTTGTAATTAAGTACAAAGCTGCACAATGGGCTACCTGGGCTCTGCCCACCCACCACGGGTATCGAAACCCGGATTCTAACGTTGTAAGTCCGCAGACATACCGCTGTGTCACTGTGGGGCTAATAGTTGTTTGAAGGTAAGCCCAAAGCTACACGGTGGGCTATCTGTGCTCTGCCCACCACAGGTATCGAAACCCGGATTCTAGGTTGTAAGTCCGCAGACATACCGCTGTGTCACTGTGGGGCTAATAGTTGTTTGAAGGTAAGCCCAAAGCTACACGGTGGGCTATCTGTGCTCTGCCCACCACAGGTATCGAAACCCGGATTCTAGGTTGTAAGTCCGCATACATACCAATGTGCCACTGGGGGGAAACAGTATGGAAAATTAACATTAAAAAATTCAACTGCGCTGTGTTTAGAACATTTTAAGTGAAAATCAAACATTTTAATGCTATCCTTAATATATATGTATATACTGTATATGGATATAATATTATATACTTGTTTATATGTTGAATGGTGATTACTTTCCCAAAATGTGACAAGATTTGTTTTATTACCCATATATGTTCGTTTAAGCTTTAACGAATGCTTTTAAGAAAACAAAAGTAAGTTAAGCCTGGGCCAAAAACGATTCTGTCCGAATTTCTTCTTCAAATGTTTAATTGTTTAGAAACATTACATGATTTGCAGTTGTATTTGAATGTTAACCAGTGTGTTCTAAGTTATCGCGAAGCCTTGATTTTTCTATGGTTGATGCGATTAAGCATTACCTAATTATTTTGATCACCTTCTTGCACAGCTGAAATTAAGTGTTTTTTTATAACAGAAAGACCAACACAGAGGTTCCAGTTATGTTCAATAGGCTGATAACGAGACCCTAATTGTAACCATTAAACTGTATTTTATCTTGAGTTTGTTTGTTTTCAATTTCACCCATAGCTACACGAGGGCTATCTAACCGTCCCTAATTTAGCAGTGAAAGACTAGAGGGAAGGCAGCTAGTCATCACCACCCATCGCCAACTCTTGGGCTACTTTTTTTACCAACGAATAGTTGGATTCACCGTCACATTATAACGCCTCCACTGCTGGTTGAACGGGGATTCGAACCCGCGACCCTCAGATTGCGAGGAAAGCGCCCTAATCATCTGATTCTTTGGACGACAAAGGAAAGCTTTAAAACACGAATTAAATATAATATAAATATTTTTTAGTTCAATAGTAGAGATCGGAAGGATAAGAAAAAAGGAAGTTTACACACTTTCTTGTTTTCATTAGTTCGTGTGTTTAAAAGAAAATTATACAATTACATGAAAACGAGTTTAAGACATGATTGTTAGAAAGTTCCAGAAACTTATTTTTAGCGTACTTAGTTGGTCAAAAGAGAAATGTTTTATATATGATATAAACCACATGTGCATGCATTTATATCAGCAAAACAAAATCATTAGTTGTTATATTTTTATTCGTTGTCTTTATATTGTTGTATCAAGTGGTTTACACGTTTTTGAAGCTGTAAAATGTTCACCTTTTCACACATTTTGCACTTGTGGTATCCAGAAAAGGTCATCATTTAGCACAATTTACACGTATGGCATTCACAGAAGATTAATATTTCACACGTTTTTACTTGTGATAGCTTTAAAAAGACACTGTTTCACACATTTTACACGTACAATATCCATAGGAAGAAATATATTGATTTTATTAAACATACCGTAAAAGGTCATCATTTAAAACAAGCTTTGCTAAGATTAACTAAAAGGCTGTACGAGAATAGAAATTAATTTATTCGTCATTTAAAAACACACACACACAAAATAGATTGGCCATATTTTGTAGGCTTTTGTAAACGTTTTTTTTTTTGTGTGTGTCTAAACGTACATTTTCTATGGCATAACAAAGTTTCCATTACGAAGTGTTTACAGGATTTTGTTTACACAGTCAGACGATTTTTAAGGAAACAATAGATTTTCAGATGACAAATATAATCACTGACTGTCGAGATGGCTCTTTCGTTCTGTACTAAGCAAACCTTTACAAACTGTTGGTTATTTGTGGACTAAACTTGTTTTTGCGAAGACACTTTGGAAATTCGTTAAATTTGATTTCCTATTGTCGTGATGGAAACACATACAGCGCCCTAAAAATAAGGTAAACGTTTTTTCACACACACACACACACATATACTATTATATAATTACATATATGCTTTCTATATGTCCAGAAAGCAAATAAAAAAAATTTATACACTAACTCAAACATTGCTTTCCTTTCTTTTTGAAGTTGTTTACAAGCTAGAAAAAACATAATTAAGTTGTATTTTATTGTTTTTATAAATATTACTGAGCTGAGACTGAAATATCCAAAAAGAACATGAGAACAAAATTGGAATTTTCAAGGAATGCCAAGAACACAATGGAATAGAAACCGTTTTTTTTTTGTTTTTTTTTTTTTGGAAAGGAACCTCTTTTATTCGCAAGAGTCGCAGATGAAGCCCAACAACTAAGATTCTTGACAACGTACTTGACAACGTAGGACAAATAATGTACAAATGTACAACGTTCCACATGTGTATCTCTCTTTGTATTCTCCAACAACCGTTATCTGAAATGATGGAACATAACAAACATCATAGCTTCATAATTTTATGTTATCAAACATACTTTTTAATGTTTGTAGATCAAAAACCAATAACAATCTATTACTAGATGTACTTCCGCAGGATCCACGAAAGTGCCCCGTTTCAAGAGTAAATAAAACCAAAATTAGGTGTAACAAATATTTTTATTTTTTGCTTTTGAAGTTCATATGTCATGCTGTGTTGTAGCCTAAAGATTGCATAATTCCTCTCGTGATTCATGGCATGCGCACGTTTTACTCACGTCAAAACAGTACAAGTTGCAACGTTAGGCGTCCTTTATGTGACGTCATTTGAGAGTCTACTGACTGACTGAGAGACAACGCACAACTGTATAGCGGTGCAAGTGGTTAAAGTAGATTACCTCTCCAGGCGGCCTTCTTCCCCCCTTCGGAGAAAAAACATACAGTTTTATTACAAATCAAATATTTGCGCACAAAAGGCACAATAACAATTGAAATTCCTTCTCATTGCAAAATAATCAGCCTCGGTGTCCAACTTATTAAATGTATATTCACATTTAAAAATTAACAACATGTAATCAGACGACTAGCAATTATAATTTCAGGAAGAGACTATTCACAGAGCTAGTTTAATTAAGTTGTGGCGTTAATCTATTGATCAGGAAAGTTTCTTTTATGCAAAGACTTCTTTCGTCAATAGTCTATGAAAGAATCTTAAAGGCCGTCCAATGTATCACCAAGTCGCAATCACGAGTAGCGTGGTCTCTTGTGCAAGATTTGTTTCCAGCTAGCGGACTTGCATGTTCATTCACACGTGTTTTAAGCCACCTGGTGGTAAATCCAATATAACTGGAAATGCGGCAAGAGCATTTAAATCCACAAACAGCTTCAGTGAAGATATTGTATCTTTAAACCTGAAAACAAATTGGTTTATATATTCAGGTTTAAAATTCATTGTAAATCTATTGTAAATAGACTCACGAGAATGTTGACATGGCTGTTTGTTCATCAAAAATGCATGCCCGCCAATACATGACGTCCCCAGGTGGCACAGCGGTAATTCTACGGTTTGTTTGTTATGGATTTCGCGCAAAGCTACCTGCGCTAGACGTCCCTAATTTAGCAGTGTAAAACTAGAGGGAAGGCAGCTAGTCATCACCACCCACCGTCAACTCTTGGGCTACTCTTTTACCCACGAATAGTGGGATTCACCGTCACATTATAACGTCCCCACGGCTGAAAGGGTGAGCATGTTTGGTGTGACGGGGATTCGAATCCGCGACCCGCAGATTGCGAGTCGAGCGCCCTAACCACCTGGCCATGCCGGGCCCAACTCTACGGACGTATATAACTAAAGTCCAGGGTTCGATTCTCTGCGGTAGATGCAGCAAATGGCCCAATGTGGCTTTGTTCAACAACAAACAAATAAATCAAGCAGTTTCATGTTTATATATATATATACCCAAATTTGAAACAATAGGTCTACCAGGACAACCTTCTTTGGAGACTTTTGGAATGCCGTGGATGACAATCTGATTGATTTTATTTTTAAATATTTACTCTGAGTAAATAAATTATAATTTTTTAATGTTAACAAATACCTCTGCATTTTAGTTTATCTGATTTTTGTAGGATCCATTTGTAATTTCGTAAATTTATTGATATCATTAAATAGTTTCTCAGCTCCTAGACTGTAATCAGATTTGTTAAGAATATCCATACTGTATCATATATCAGGTTTCATTATAGTAATATTTTCATTCTTGCTTAAGTTAAATTTCTCGCGGCTTCAAGTTTATCTTAACTAATATTAGCGTATTTCAAGCCACGGCTATAATTTTTAAAGGCAAATGAAACAATACCACTAACTTGAGTACTAATATTATCAAAAGATTCAAAATTATTAGGCTAACTTTTTTGTTTAGAGACTTGCTGTAATAACCGTTCAAATGACAAGAGAAATGTTCAAATTTGAGTTTCAACTCTATTCCAATATTCCTTTACTATTGTCTGCTACTTACGAAGCATTTAGTAAAGACCTTGATTCATCGTGCTTATAAGATCACTAGTGCGTATCAACATTTACATAAAGACATTTAAAATACCAAGAATGTTGTAAAGAAAAATTGCTTCGTAAAAACATCATTGAAACATCATAGTTGGCTATTTGGGCGAAGTCAGTGTCTCTATACAACTAAGTTGTAATGTTCCAAACCAACTATTTAAACTTTTTCGTAAAGTTTATCCACAGATATATTTGAGAATTATTTTTAAGTCTCAATTTAGATTAATTTTTTTAGGTTCAAAGATAGAATAACGCCACTGATAACATATAATGTTTATGAATTTAAATCTCCTAGATGTAATTATAGATACTAGCAGAGACCCGCAAAACATTTCCTGCCAAATTAGTATCTTTATCGTAACAGTGCTTCTTTAAATATAACATTTCTAGCACAATACAAACAAATTGTAATCGTAGACAACGAAATGTGTAAATCCACTTGTGTATAGGCCGTACTTTATAAAACTTTAACTTAGGTTAGGCCTAAATTCGATAAAGAGATAAATTAATA